GTGGGAACTCGGGTGGCGAGGCCGGCGCGGAGGAAAAAGGAAAAGGAAGAGGTGCCGTTGGGGCAACGCGGTGTGGCAGCGCCACGTGGGGATGCCGCACAAAAGAAGAAGCCACCGTGCGTGGTGGGTGAGGCGGTTTTGTGTTTCTCTTGTGGCGCCTCACGTCCACGGGCCCCATGGCGCGGCTGGGGGGCGGCGGTGCCACTGCGGGGTTTTGGTTATTTTTGGCATTTATCGTTACTTTTATTTTTTCGCGCCACGCCGCACTCCTGCTGCACAGCGCTGAGGGAGGTGGCCGGCGTTGGGCGCGTTGTGGTGGGTTAAAAGGCGGCGGGAGACGGCGGCGCGTGACTTGCGTTTGTGGGTTTTTGTTTTCTTTGTTGTTTGACTTATGCGTTCTGCGGGGCGCTCCCCGTGTGTGTGCGTGTGAGTGAGTCTCTGTGCTTGTTTTGCTCATCCTCTTTCCTTCTCTGTGTTTCTGCCCCTCGCCAGACCCTGTGCGTGTGTGTTGTGCTGCGGTGAGAGGAGGTGGCGATGGCTGGCCGTGCGCTGTTGGTGTGCGCCCTCTGCGCGCTGTGCTGCGCTGCCGCCGGCGCGATGGCGGTGGAGGGACATGCGCCAAGTGGTGTGACGAGTGGCGGAGGCGGCGCTACGGCTTTGGAGAAGGCGTTTCCGCCGCGTAATGAGACGAACCACACCGTGGTGCATTCCCCCTGCCCTTGGGTGGTGGGAGGGGCCAAGGGTGCTGGGACGTGTAAGCAGGTGAACGTAACCATCCGCACATTTTTGCCGTCGAAGCCGGGGACCGCAGCGACGTCGGACGCGGGTGTTCAGGGGGCGCAGGAGCGGCCCACGGCAGGCGCCTCCCAGGGCCACACGGGGGAGAGTGGCGGCGGCGCAGGGCAACGCTCTCGGCAGGCAGCCGGGCAAGCCGCCGATGGAGCAGCTGCCAGTGGCGCCCCACAGACACGGCAGGAAACAGGGGACCGGCAGGTATCACAGCCACAAGCTGCCGGAGGTGTCGCCGAAGCGGCTAATGCCTCACTCAACCGAAGAAGGGCAGCAGGCGACTTGGGAGCCACGCGGAATACCGTGGACGGAAGCGCAGCGGAAGCAACAACGTCTTCTTCTGCAATTGCCGATGCCGCGCAGCCCAGCGTCGCAGTGACACCAGAAGAACGCCAACGTGGCAACGCAGCCGGCAGTAAGAATGCACCAACGCCACCGGTGACAAATGCAAAAAAAATCTGCGCACGGCGACAGCGACGGTGACAGCAGCGCCGCGGCCTCGCACTCCGCCTCCCCCCTTGCGCTGCTTCTTCTGCTTTTTGCGTGTGCGGCTGCCGCTGCGATGGTGGCCGCGTGAGGGACTGAGTGAGAGTGAGGGGGACGGAGGGCCGTGCGCACACAGCTCGTCCTTCTCTGTTTCTTTTTATTTGTGCGTGTGAGTCCCCCTGCACGGACTCTCTCGCCCTTGCCTCGCCCCACGAGGCAGACAACACATAATGTGCTCGTATATATACACAACTCCACTCATGCGGGTCCGTCGGTCCTTTTTTTCTTTGCCCCCTGATGAGCCGCTGCCGTCCTGCTTGGCCGCATGGGTACAGCACCGTAACTGTTTTTATCCTTTTAGTTTAGTTTGTTTGCTTTCATTGCTTTCAGTGGGCGACCTCTCTTGCTTTCTCTTTTTCTCTCTCGTCCT